TGTGCTATGGGAGCCAAACCTAAAGTATTGCATTCTTAACAAAAAATTATAAGACAAGAAACAGGGAAGTATGACCCACACATGGGTCTGTCTTGATTATTTTTTCTTTAACCTTTATCCCATCTAGAAATATAGTACCCCTGACTATGATATGAGCTGCCAGAAGAGCATGGCTTTGGAATCAACTATGCAGCTTAAATTCCAACTTAGTGCACCTGTCCTGTAACTTTTGGGCAAGTTTTTGTAAGCCTCTCTGAACTTTGCCTTTAGAAGTCTATAGATAGAATGGAGACAATCATACCCATCACAAAGGGTTATTGTAAAGATGAAGCAAGATTACGTATGGAAAGGCTGAACATAATTGATGAGTATAAAGTTGGTGTTCCTTAATTTTTAGAACCAGATAGTAGAGTGGGTCAGATAGTGGTCTCTGGATCTGGATTTAAATTCATGCTTTTCCCCTTCTGTTCAAATGACCTGGGTAAATTACCTAATTTTCTTTGCTTTTGTTTCCACATCTGTAAAATGGGCATTTTGAGAGTACCCACCTTATTAGGAATGTCTGAAGATTAATATATAATATATATAATATATAAAGCACTTAGAACATTGCCTGTTTACATAGTAAGTTTTATGCAAGTGGCAATGGCTATTCTCTCCCCAGCCCATACAATACTTGTATTCCCTAGGAGCAACATGTTTAATTTATGTAGATTGGATGTGAGGATTATAGGGACACAATGGCTATCACACCACAGATGACCAGGTAGGCCTGGTTGGTCCAGCAGGTGGTGAGTTATGAATCCTCTGTCTCACTACATCAGAAGCATCTTCCCATTAACTCCAGGCTGAGTCAGGGTGGGCGCCTTCTCCACAGAAGAAAGGATCTGTTCCCAATCAGGGTAAGTCAGTGGTTTAACTTCTCTGCAAGAATGTATTCCCTGGATTTCCTATCACCATGGGCTTCCTTTTTTTTCATTATTTTATTTTTTCCTTTTTGAGAAACAGTCTCATTCTGTGCCCTGGGTGGAGTGCCATGGTGTCCTGGTCACTGCAATTCAAACTCTTGGCTCAGGTGATCCTCTTGCCTCAGCCTCTGGAGTACCTGGGTCTACAGGTGCCTACAATGATGCTGGGTTAGTTTTTTCCATTTTCAGTACAGATGGGGTCTCACTTATGCTCACACTGCTCTCAAACTCCTGAGCTCAGGTGAACCACTGACCTCAGCCTCTCAGAGTGCTAGGATTACAGGTAAGCCACTGTGCCCTGATTGACCATGGACTTTTTAAAATCCCTGCAAGCAGCAGTATGTATGGGGTGGGTGGGAGGTGATGACAGCTCCTGTAAATCTGTCTCTTCTGTATAGTAAGTGGCCGGCATAAGGTTGAAACATCAACCTGTAGGTCCTGGCTGTGGCAGGGATCCTCTGTTCTTCCCCTGTCTCAACATCTCATTGGAATGTATGCAGATTGTTATAATTTGTTATTAATTAGCTCCTTTCTGAATTAATTTCAGCTGATTATTTACCTTGGCAACAACCCAGACGAGAGCTGCTTCGTCCACAACACCACCATCGGCCTGCATCCAGCAAGTTTGATAGCAGAACCACGCACCAGGATGACTACCCCTTAAAGGGCCTCGTGCACACCACGAGCTGTAAGCCTCCGCCTGTGCCAAAACTCTGCAACATCCCCTTGGAGGATCTGACTAACTACAAGATGAGCTACGTGGCCCACCCTATGGAGAAGCGCTTTGTGTATGAGGCAGAGAAGTTCAAGCCCTGTGAAATCCCCTTTGAAAGCCTAACTACCCACAAAGAGTGCTACCGGGGCCTCCTGGGGGAGCCTGCCAAGAGTTCGAAACCTCCAGCCAGGCCCTCTGGACTAGATACACCTTTCTCTAACACCACTGAGTTTCGAGATAAGTACCAAGCTTGGCCAACACCCCAGATCTTCTCCAAAGCTCCCAGTGCATACGCCCCTCCCGATGAGAAGATGGATCTTCTGACGACAGTACAGGCCCATTACACATACCCGAAGGGTGCCCCGGCGCAGTCCTGCCGACCGGTTCCCTCGATTAAGAAGAGCTGCCGCTTTGAAAGCTCCACCACTACCAAGGATGACTACAAGCCGTGGGCCAACAAGCGCGTGGAGCTAACCAAGCCCAGTCACCAGCTGAACCTTCCCACGGAGCCCTTGGACTGCTTGACCACCACTCGGGTGCACTATGTGCCCCACCCACCCAGCAATACCAAAAGCTGTAAGCCCCCCTGGTCTGGCCCTCGAGGGAATGTCCCTGTGGAGGGCCAGACCACCTACGCCATCAGCTTTACTCCCAAGGATATGGGCAGGTGCCTAGCTTCGTATCCTGAGCCTCCTGGCTATATCTTTGAGGAAGTGGATCCTCTGGGGCACAGGATGTACAGGCCGGTCTCCCAGGTGGGCTCTCGGCAGAGCAGCCATGTTTCCATGGGTGATGCGGAAAACCCCAACCAGAAGGAATTGTCAGTGTCAGCCTGATTTTGAAAAATGGTTATTTAGAAATTGCACAATACTTTTAAAAGCAGATGATTGAGAATTATTCATTGGAAAAAAAAAGAATTCCCCAAAATGAGAAAAAAAATTTCATCACCATTTCCAGGACACTAGAATAAAATAAGAATCTTTTGATTCAAGGAAAATGGCATTTAATCACTGGCTAATTAAATCTCTTTACCCCTCTCTCTACTGCCCCCCCCTTAAACCCCGCCCCAGGCCTCTTACTTTGTGCTCATGGAATCAAAGCTGGTGTCTTTGAGGTTTTCTTTGATCCAGATGTAGTTTATTAATTTAATCATTATATGAAGTGACATAATGATAAACCCTTGTCAAGTATGAAGTGGCAAAAGAAGAAATTGTACTTTGGGGGATATTCAGTCTGTAGGTCTGTGTGTTTACCCCATGCACTGTCTGTGTAGAGAGCCTGTTTATGCAGAGAGCAGCCTGGACTGCTTGGCACCTTTGGGGAGATTTTATGCTTAAGTCCCGATTGCATCCCAGCTCTAGTGGGGAATCTTGGGTCTGGGCTGAGGTCTTGTTTTGGGATCTCTGAGCCAAACACAGGGCATCCTTCTACCTCTTCACTGCATGACATATGTGGGTCATTACAAAAGTTTTGAGATACACAAAAATCAAGAAATGTAAAATCCATGTGGATGGAAACAGATGAAGCCCTCCCAGAAACACTAATAAGCTGAGCAAGTTTGAACTTGCACTGGTGAATCAGAAAGGACACTGTCGAGTATATTTTTTGGAACTAAAATAATGGACCATAACACTGTCTCAAAATGTTTATAGTGACCCATGTACCAGCAAGAATAGTGCTGTCTGATGGAGTGGATCTTTTTAGTCACAGGTGATGAAGGGGGAGGAAGAGGTTGTATGGTGATTGGACCTGCCAGGCCGGTTCCAGTTCCGTGGAAGGTGGGAGAAAGGCAACCAGGCAACCGGCAGCTGGTTCCTGATCTTTGAGAAGCAGCTGTGGGTTCTTTGAAATGCTTGTGATACAGGAAAGTAGACCCCCAAACTGGGGTCTGGTCTGAAGGCCAAGAGTGTTCTCGTCTTCCTGCAGGAAAGAATTCAAGCACAAGCCTTTAGTTGGAAATAAAAGCAACGTTCATTAAACAACAAGCAAACAGCAAGTAGGTGACCCCAGAGGCACAGTAGCTGTGTGCAGTGCTCTCTGTTTGGCTTGATTATAGGCTAAATAAGGGGAGGAATATTCATGGTTCTTGAGGGAAAGAGTGGAAAATGGTTCTCTGGGAAAAGAGTGGCAGTTTCTAGGAATTTGGGGGTTCCTTCTCTTTTCATACCATCTAGGGCTTTTTTTTTTCCCCAAGTTTTTTTTAATTAAATGATAACTATGTACATTAATGCAATTCTGGGGTACAGTGTGGTGTTTTCATATACAATTTGAAATAGTTTCATCAAACTGGTTAACATAGCCTTCATGTCATTTTCTTAGTTATTGTGTTAAGACAATCATATTCTACTCTTAGAAAGATTCACTTGTACCCTTGTCATCTACGGCTTGTTGTGGTGATTGCAAACTGTCCTAGTGCTAGTGGGAGTTTTGTAGTATGCTCATTATAAGCAGGGAATGACAAGCGACAGGGTAGCGCAGAGGTTGTTTATGTCACCATCTTGGCTCTTACTGGTTTTAACCAGTTTCTTTACTGTATCCTGTTTTCCTGTTTTTGTCAGAGACCTTGGTTTAGGTCTTAAAACTTTTTAATGACTTGCACCTGCTAGTTTCCCGTCTCACTCAGAGCCTGGAAGAAATTGTCCCACACTGGGCTGGTTTCTGGGAAGGCTGGGCCTGCTTGTCCTAAAATGACAGGTGTCATCAGGTCTGTGACAAAGTTTGACACAGAAATTAGCCAAGTTCTACCCTGGAGGTTACTCTTTGGAGCCTAAGATTTTACCAGGTTTGATTCTAAGGCCAAAAAAAATTTTTTTTGAGACAGTCTTGCTCCGTTTCCTATATTAGAGCAGTGGTGTCATCATAGTTCACCATAGCCTCAGCCTCCTGAGTAGCTGAGACTATAAATATGTGCCACCATGCCTGGCTAATTTTTAATTTTTTTTTTTTTTGTAGAGATGGAGTCTGTCCATGTTGCCCAGGCCAGTTTCAAACTCCTGGTCTCAAGAAATCCTTCCACCTCAGCCTCCCAAAGTGCTAGGATTATAGGTGTGAGCCACTGCACCTGGCCTGAAGACTTTTGTTTTAATTAGATGGAATTGAGGAAGAATTTTGTTCAAGAGTACCCCACAAGTCCAAGTAATTCAGAGTTTTTCCTAATTGGGCAAAATTGAGGAAAGACTTTGTGTCAGGGTTATATGGGCCCCATAGTCTATGTTGAGGATCACACAGAAAGATGCAGACTGAAGCCTGGGACTTGCATCTCTCCTTTGAGTGCACAGAATCCTGAAATCTACTTTACAGCCTCAAGAACTTGAGGACAGTGTGGAGATCCAGGCCAAGTCTAGAGACTTCCACTCTTCTCTTCTAGGGCTCAGTCTTCCCAGACCTCTCACCTACCTGGCCCAGGCCTCACGGGTCCCCTTATCTTGAATCCTCACCAGAAGCTTAGTATATTTCTCTGGGGTAGGATCTGCATGATTCAGTCCTTTCATTGGTGATTTGGGGTCTCAATGCACTTGTGGGGTAAAGCAGCTCAGAGTGGAACCTTACAGTCCAGACCTGGCTACAGGACACATGTAAATAGCTTGTTCATGGCTCACAGTTCATGTAGGTGAAGATGGGGGTGCGGCTGAGTTCTGACTGGCTGAATCTACCTAGGGTTTCACCTGTGGGTCTTTACACTCATGCAAGGAAGGAGAACTGCTCGTGTTTATTACCTTACAGATTTTACAAAGTGAAATATTTATTTGTTAAATTACTCATTAGCTGTTTTGAGTTGGGGTTGCTAACTTGCTCCCCGGAAGTCTGCTCTAAGAAGGTGACTGGTCTATGAGGAAGAAAGAGGAGCTGAGCAGATGGGGCATCTGCTCTGGTCCATCTGTGCAGTGGGCTTCGGTAGTGAGTTTGCTGGGAAAAGGCTCTGCTGTTAAAGCATGTGCACATGTACCCGCGCACACTGCCCTGACACCTGATGCCATTCTATTCAGCAAATCGCAGCAATGGAAACCTTTAAAAACACCATCTTCTCTAAAATATGTGCACGGGTTTGTATTTTATATTGCACTTGTGAGACTGAAGTGGGAACTTAATCACCTACGATAGCCCAGGGTTCCTGAAGCTTTAAGTGTTTCAAAAAATAAAATTATTAGAGATCGAAGATAGAACACAAAGCAAAAGTGTTTCATGGCTATGCTGGAAACCTGCCTCAGTGTAGAAGCCAGTAGGTTCTGGGGGATGAGGTTCTTGGGAGGAAAATGAGAGTGGAGCTTTACTAGCTGAAAGATAGCAAACTCTGTTCTGTCAGAGGAGAGCAGAGTCTCCAAGTGGGGCTAATTGGCTGGAGACAGTGGGCTGGCCCGGAGTGGTCTGCTAGTTTAGGGTATGGTGCCCAGGCAGGATGGTGGTGTCTTCCTGCCTTGGGCTGTGGGCAGGGCTGCTGCTGTCAGCATCCTAGGAGGCCAGGGCAGGGCTTATCCCCTGGTTCATATTACAGTGGTGTCATCTCCATGGGTGAAGATTCTGGCAATGTGTCCACATTTTGGGGGGGGGGATCAGGAACTCACTCCCCACCCAAAGCAGTTTAAAGGACACTTTGTTCTATAGCTCAGTTACATTTTTTGGAGAATGAATATCTTTAAAGATGAGACTCCACTTTTGGCCTGCATTCAAGCTCTTATGCTGTGTGGTGGTTAGAGGATGGGAAAGGATAGGTCTGTTGTTCGTGATGCCCCTGTTTATAGCACCATGTGCCTCCCTGCCCTCCGTGGTGCCTGACATTTCAAATCTTGAGCCCCTCTGGTTGGGCCATACACACCTGCTCCTGGAAGCTCCAGCTCTCTGTGGCTTATTATCACGCAAGGTGGAGGCTTCCTTATGTCCACCTGCCAGTTGTTACTCTACCATCTGCCTCCTGTCCCCTTCAGATTTCTTGAAATCCCTTGAGACCTTCCTCCCATTTCCTTCATTATGGCATTTTATAATTTCATTTCTCCTTTCATATAGCTTGATGTGTGTGAGGGTGGGAAGGAGGGAAGCACAGGCAGCCAGCTCAGTATGGGCCCTGGCCTGGAGCTAGGTGAAAGGTGTGAAGCCCTAATGGGGTTTCATTAGTCTCAGCCGTGGAGCATACCTGGCGGGTGATTTTTGTCCCCTGATTGGACAGAAGAGCAAACCTGGGATAGAATAAGTACCAGGTCAGCTGGTGTGTGGGTCACTTGGTTCTGAACCCCAGACCCTTCCTGAGGCTGTGCAGCCAACATCAGACAGTGCTCTGACGCCTCCATCCTCTGTCCCACCAGTTGTCCTCCCTCCCCCTCTTATAGCCCAGGTCTGATACGGGTGTGTCGGGCCTGTGCTGTAGGTGGTAGAGGTGGAGAAGCAAGCACTCCCTGCCCAGTCTTAGGTCTAGCTTTCATGTGACAACTTCTGAATACCTTTTCATGACAGTCTCACTGCTCTCACATTGAAGTACAAGGACCTGGATGTGAATACAACACTCCTCCCCCCCAGCCACTTCTGCTTTTAAAGCAGGAGTGAAACTACCCCAGGGCAAAGAGGTCTGCTCCCAAAAAGCTTTCCAAAGTGAGTCCTCCTAAAGATAAACTGAGGGATCTTTTTCCTCTAAAAGCACTTTTTAGCTCTGCAGTTGTCAAGAGGAAGTAGGTGGAGCAGGTGGGGTGTGCGCAGTCCTAATTGCAGATTAATGGCCCCTTGGCTCCTTGGGCCTGCCCTGCCTTCACCCAGGCCCACATCTGGTCAGCAGGCCTCGAAGTGGGAAGACAGAGGCCCTTCTGAGCACGAATGCTGGGGAGGGGTGGCCAGGGGTGTTTTCTTTGGC